TTTAGTAAAAAAATTCTCGAAAAAAGTGAAAAGCAGTGGCCAAAAGTTGCCCCAAACAAAGCCCGAGTCTAACCATAGAAAAATAGTTAGAAAAGTTTAGAAAAATCAAATAAGTAAAGGAAAACATTCTAAGATACTTATGTCAACGTGCACAATGTTAACGATAAACTTTATCTAGGGTTTTATTGTAATTGGATTTTTTTCCCTTGAATTCTATTATTTTAAATGGAAAAAAACTAGTGAACAAAGAAAAGTTAAGGGTGTTTTAGGGATGACTTCAACTTTTTTGTAAAGGTTATTATAAATCTGTTGTGGGAAAAATAACTTTTTTTGAATAAAAATGTGAGCATTATAATTTTTTTTGCTACTACACTTTAGTAGATCTTGTTTTACTCTAAAGCTACTTCCACAACAAAAAAAATGTTGAAAAATAATAAGAATATAATAGACAAACAAATGTATGATAACTATTTGAAAAATAAACCACAAAAAGCTATCACAAATAAACCAAAAATCTATTAAAATCAAGATAAAAATATATCTTAATTTGATGGCAACAATACCAAGTCATGAAAGGAGATACCTTTTGAGGTTTTTCTTCATGGGTTGTCATAAACAAGTTAGATGATGGAAATTTTCTTTCACTTGATTTTTATTTTTATTTTTATTTTATTTTTTATACCACCAATTTGACCATTTAAAATAGAATATTGCTCAAAATATGATGGATGATTAACAAAAATAATTTATTTAATTCCAGCAATCTTTTTAATATATTGGTTTTTTTGAAATATTCTTCCAAGAAAAAGTACAATAGGAGCAATATGGAAAACAAGCAAAATAAATTAGGCATGTTTAACGGGTCAATGATATTTGTATTTATAATTTTTAAATTTCTTCTTGTTCTAATCTCAAGAAAATAAATCACTTGTATTTACCTTTCTCATTCAGAGATTTCTCTCTCTCTCTCTAAACTTCGATATTTATGTATATAATACTTGAATATCTGAATCACATCAAAATATATGCATGAAAAGTTGTATTTTACTTTTAAAAATATTATAAGTAGTATTTTTGAAATTATTTAAAGATTTAGATGTTATATAAGTGAAAATTAAAGTTTAGATATTAGATATGTAAATATATAATAATTGTGTAATATATATGTAAATCCCTCTAAATATGTTAAACTTCAAGTCTTTGAATAAAAATTATAAAAAATGTTTAAAATTTTATATCCCATCATTATTTTATCTTATGTAGTATTTTTAAAATTCAATATAGTATTTTTATTCTTTCATATGTATTCATCATTATCATTATCATTGGAACATCTTTATTATTTTATCATTTCATGTGGCTTTAAATAATCATTTAAGGGTTGTCACACTCTACTCATCTGCATAATTAGGTCATCAATTTCAGGCTACAATCGGGATAATATTACAAATCATCTTTAAAGGAAAACTCGTCGATCCACCCTCATGTATAGGATATTATATTTTAAACAATCAACCCAAATTAATTATAATATTAACATCTATCCCCCTTGTTTATATGCATGTATTACATTTATTATTTCATATCAAATGTATCAATCTCCCCTTCATGCATGAAATACAATATAAATTGTTGAAATCTACAAATCGAGAAAAATTTATGAAATAATTGATAGCTTCAAAAAATCATAATTTTCATTTTAATCAGTAAAATTCGATAATATTACATTCAAAATATCCATAAAATCCATATCTATCGTGTAGGAAAAGTTACACAATAAAAGTGCGGTAAATTAGGAGAAAATGTATTTTTATTAATTTATGAGAGATTAAATTCATCAAATATAAAATCATTGAAAACTAAAATGACATTCAGATTACTTATAATAATCACAAGACTTTTTCTAACATAAGTGGTGCACTAAAATGACCAAAAATCAGCTTTCTAATTCCTCCCTGTCCTTTCTCCTTTTCCTTCCCAAGCAAGTCATGGCCAAAATGGGATGGAGGTTGCACCACTGAAGCTTTAGTGCATAGGATTTATAATAAAAATATATAAAAATATTGTTAATGCCTAGCTAAAGTCGTAGCACTCCGGCCCATCGCTACTTACTGAATTCAAAATTACTATAGAACATAGACTCAGACGTCCTTGCGGCGATTTCTTGTGCCGATGTACTCTTAAGCCTAGTGCCACAACACTCCAACGCATAACACTGAAGCGCTCTTGCTCAAACAAAATTTTAAATTTTCATTTTAAAATATTTTTCATATCTTGGATTATTACAACATAAAATTTCATTCTTAAAGTAATAAGCAGAATCATCCCCTAAAATCTATTGCACAAACACGAGGTATATAAACTAAACAACAAAGCCAATTAGCCAATGAAGAGCTCAAAGAATAAACAAAATGGGCTTCAATATGAAGGATAACAAGACACCAAAAACACGAAGAATCAAATCATTCAACTTCAAACACTAACGAGAACTATATAATGCCAACTAAGGAACTAAACATACAACAAAACAATAAATACAACCGTACAAGTGGATGGTGCGCCCAACTCCCATTCACTATGGCAAAGAGTCCAACAATCTCGCGAGCTCCCATCCGACCATCCCATGCATGTTTTTTTTAGATATGAGGTGGAGAAACTAGGAGAGAGAGAGAGAGAGAGAGAGAGAGAGAGAGAGAGAGAGAGAGAGAGACCTATTGACTGTTGTGAAGGTTAAGTGTGACCGTTTGACTGAGAAGCCACTACCATCCGGTCCATATCGCATGCGTGACAAAAGAGGGGATTTGCATTGTGCGGGTTTGAGGATGACGAAAAAAACCTAAGGTTATTAATTTGCATTAGGTGTTGATTAAACATGCATAAATAGTCTTAATTAGTCATTAACTAAATAACTAGTGAGGGCCTATGCTCTCAATACCCTCATCTTAAATATGCCCCTGTGACCTCCAAACTTTACACATATATACTTATTTCACATTCTATCTCTAAGATTAAAGCCTCTCAATCTTAACCTATAGGCAAAAATTTACATAAATAGACTTAAAGTTCACTTTTACCTATAACACCATATACATTTGAAATGATGCAACAAACAAATACTATAATTAAAAGTACAAATAAATTAAAATCATTTAACACATTTTTCATTTCATGATAAAAGCTAGAGTTTTAAATTAAGAATAAAACAAATTAAAAGGAGATGCACATTTAAAGCTAAACTTAAAATATTAAACCTAATAATTTAAGTCATCTTTTCCCACATCGATCAGCTCTAATAATTCTGCCTCAATGTTCAACGAGTAATATATTTGATAGACGAATTGAAGTGTCAGACCAATTGCAAAGATGACATCTGGCATCGTACTAATTCATGTGTTGATTAGTTGAGTAAAACATTTCCATCACAGATAATCAAAAGTTGGAAGGTTTGTTTTGTTTTTAATATACAAGACACATGTCAAGCTCTTGCATTTGGACCAATATGAACCAGATATTCAGCACGCGTATTCCATGCTTAGATTCCTTTTTGAGTTGTCCATTCAGATATATTTATTAATTGATAGAGGACAAATTAATTAACCTACTCATATAGTTAGATTCAAGGAGAAATTATTTCACCAGATGATATTCAGAGACGAATCAAGAAGCACCTCATTTTTTTGTAGTGTATCGGATGACGTGACACATTCTAATTTGTCTCTGAATTGTCTAGTGACCGCATAGAATAATTTCTCCAATTAAAGAAATTTCAATCGTTTGATTCACTAGGTAGCTAGAATTCAATCAGCGAACTGATTTTCTCAAAGCATCATATTTTGAATGGATTTAGGAGTGTCAATTTTGGGTTACAGGTCGGGTTCGGGTCGACTTCAAAACTAGGGGTGTCAATTTTTGACACGACCCGAACCCGACCCGGAAAAATATGGGTTCGGGTCAACCCGAATCCGAAATGGGTCGGGTTCGGGTTCAACAAATCAACCCATTTTAAAAATCGGGTCGGCTTTGGGTTGACCCAACAACCCGAAATTGACCCGAAAGTGACACGAAAACTCATATTGTCCCGAAAACTCGAGATTGACCTGTTTTTGACCCTATTTTGACCCAAAAATCGAATATTTACCCGATTTTGACCTAAAAATTAACAATTTTAGGTCAACTTCGAGTCATTCGTGTCAAGTTAGGTTGATCCAGACCCGAATCGGGTCAAGTTCAGGTTGACCCGAACAGTGCCAGGTCAATTCCGAGTTCGACCGAACCCGACCCGCTGGCCCGAATTGATACCCCTACTCAAAACTGAACCGACAATACTCAGGCCAACCGAACCCGACACGTTTTTGCAAACGGGTTGATTTTTCATATCCAAACCCGACCCGCTTCGAGTCCGGGTCAACCTGACATGACCCGAATGTCCCAAAACTGTAAAAAATTACTAATTTTTGGGTCAAAGAACGAGTCAATCTCCACTTTTCGGGTCAAAACAAGTCGAAAACGGGCTTCCATGTCAAAACGGCTCAATTTCAATTTAAAGGATCAACCCAACCCGATTTTTGAAACGGGTTAAATTGTTGAACCCGAATTCGACCCATTTTAGGTCAAGGTTTTGACCCTAACCCAAAATTTTCAGGCCGAGTTTGAGTCGATTTTCAAGACTTCGTGAAATATTGACACCCCTTAATGGATTAAGGCTTCATTAAAAATAATTTTCTTCGTAATTTTTTATTTTTTATTTTTTTGAAAATATAAAAAAATAATGACAAAATTATTACAAGCAAAGCCTAAATCTAAACCATCCAAAATAGATCGGAGGAATGAAATCAACAGTTAAAAAATGAACAGATTTCACCAATTTAAACCTGTGAGATTGGAATTGGCCACTAAAATATGCCAAATGAGACGGCTTCAAAGTTTCAAGGAATAGCTCCAGCTGGAAAAAAAGTCTCAAAAATACTCAAATAGAAAAGAATTATTATAAAATACTCAAATACAGCAATAGGATTTGTGTGGAATGATAAATTAACAAGAAAAAAATAATTAGCAAGGCCTTTAATATAGTCAGTTCCATGTATCGTGTAAGGGCACTATCAACATAATAAACCTTCAACCGGCAAGAATCTACACAGAAACAAACTCAGTAACAATCTTACAGTAGAAAAGAAAACTAACGCTTTTCCCACACGCAGACCTCAGTAAGCAACAAACAGGAAGAAGTCATCTCCAAGAGAAAATTACTCTTCAATGCCTAAAGTGAGCTCTCGAATATGCCCTCCTGTGATCACTTTGCTTCACTAGAGAAAAGCTTTAGCAATGAACTTTATTCCAGTCCTTTCAAGTCCCTGTATTAGTTACAGGTAGTCAAAGCAGATAGTTATAGAGAAATTATTTGGTTCGGACATCAGACAGAGAGAATCATCCGGATTTCTCTCTGTTTACAGTAAAAGCACAGTTATTGTAGCAGCTGCGATTTTATTGTAGACAGAGAGAAATCTGATTGATTCTCTTTGTCCGGTGTTCGAACCTAATAATTTGCCGATAGTTATAAGGCTAATAATAATAATCACGGCTCTTGTGAACTGTCAGTGTTCTCTTTGTTACTGCAACCAAGGAATCGAACAATGACACAGGTTATGTTATCAGCGCTTCCCCTATGAGAAGCTTCCTGCAGCAGTGTCTTAGCCGCCTGCTCTGGGTCTTCAATGGGTTTGACCATAGTCACAGCCTCCTGGAATATTTTGGATAGAAAAATAACAAAAAAAAAAAAAGTTTTCAAATATAAATATAATCCTAACTGAGATTTATAAATAAGAATTTTATAAGTACCTCGTTGGAAACTACATCCCACAGTCCATCGCTAGCGAGGATGAGAAATTCTAAGGACCCATCAACCACCTCTTCCTGTGGTTCAGTAATAATCAAGCTATAGAAGTTCATATTAAAAGAACAAAAGGAAACTCAAACTACTACCTCTAATATGTCAGAAAACAAAATACATTTAATATTTAAGCTTCGTTTGGGACGGCTTCCTTTCTGCTTCTTAAAACAATTTTTAAGTACAAAAATTAAAATCTATATACTAAGAAGCAGTAAGAAAGCTGTCCCAAACGAAACCTTAGAAGCTAAAAAGACAGATAAATGCATACTCGTCTAGTTAATCCTTCATTCAATTAACAGAGTTGATATAAGCATAAATACATTTTAATAATATCTACCTGGATTTCGGGTTCTGCAACAACGTACTGCTTTAAGAGGCGATCACCAAATGCACGAGAGACAGCTAGAACACCACCAACACGCCATGTACCTGAAGCATTAGGTACCTTATTAAGACATAGCTACAAATTAGCAAACTTAAGAAGAAATGCATTTGTTTTGTGAGGTTTATTTACCAGCCCAAATAACAAAACCGCCCGCATCTTCAATCCGCTGTCTCTCATCAGTTTGATCGGGCTTGTGATCTCTCGAAACAGCAATGGCTGAGTTTTCCACAATATTATAATATAAAAGATTCCATCATTAAGATACGTAAATATATGAAAGAACATAATGCGAACCAAGAAAATTTAATAATTGTCTAGTTGTTAGCAACATTAAAAAAAAAACAATGACCAGGCACAGGGTTAACACAAACACATGGCTATACATTCCCTATAAACTGCCTTCATTCGACAAAAAATCAAATGAAGACTAGAAAACCATTACATGAAAGATCAAAAACACATGACAAATAAGTTTACATCAGTTTGACAAGATTCACACATATTAATGATTGCATAGAGACCAAATAAACCCGCTGCGTTTCAAAAGAGGGGTACATCAAATATTTATTTTTATGTAAATTTGAAAATAAAGATTAAGATATCACTTTATCCATCTCAATGACTGACTGACAGATTCCAATCAATTGCTACAAAGAGAAGGGCTAAATGTGAAAAAAAATGCATCATTGTTACTCTATTATATTACTCTCTTCACTTCTCTACAGTGATAGCTTCTCTCTACTATGGTTGAAATCTTCTCCTTTTGATGGAACTGAAACTAGCACACCTCATTCTTCCTGAATAAGTTAAAGATCTCCATCTTGTAAGCAACCAAATAAAAAACCGCATACTTTGTCTCTCTATTTGCAACCCCTCTCTCTTCTCTCTTTATCTCTCTTCTCTATATTTACTTATAGTTATGAGAAGCCAAATCTTTCTAAGGCTCTAATTAAAGTGGGAATAAAAAAATTGGGGTTTAAGACATATAATTTATTACAAGATTGCACAAGATATTACACGATCATTCAACAGTAATATAAGATTTGACAAGATCTATCAAAATCAATAAATTCTCTCTTCAAAATCTTTACATAAAATATTTCCAAAATTTTGTCATAGCTCAGAAAAATAGATTAATCAAAGATTTGTATTTGAAGAGGAAATTTGATGGACTGATGGAGGTTGTGGGCCCCGCTAGGACGAACGGCATGCAAGGAAAAAGAGGGATACAACAACAACATCATGCTTTTATCCCACTATGTGGGATCGGCTACATGAATCATTTTTCTCCATTGTGTTCTGTTAAGAGTTAAATTCTCATTTAAATTTAATAAAGAAATATCATTTCTAATATTTTCTAACCAAGACTTTTTATGTCTACCTCTATCTTTTTTAACTTAAGTCAAATCTAATACATCTACTTTCCTAACCGAGTCACCAGAAGACCATCATTTTATGTGACCAAACCATCTAAAGTGATCCTCTCTAATATTATATTCCACTGGAACTACTCCAACCTTTTCATGTATATGTTCATTTCATATGTTGTCTCTAAGAGTAAAGCCACTCATCCACCTGAGCATCCTCATCTCTGCAACACTTAACTTAATATTATGCTTCTCTTTTAATGGCCAACATTCTGCACCATAAAGCTTTGCAGGTCTAACCACCATCTTATGAAATTTTCCCTAGAGTTTGAGGGTGACTTTTCTAAGACATAACAAGCTTTAATGACTTACCATAGGAAACAAAAATTATTCATTCCCCCACCATCCGCTTTAAGTGCTAGGTGGTGCAATTTTTATTTTAAATATCAAACATTTCAAATTTCTAAACTTTCAACTCAATTCCCAAACCCAAATCCAGTTCTCCAAATTCCAAATCCATGCTGCTACTATATGCCAGATAATACGTATGTTTTACGTATCTGATCGATGACTAGCCTTAATTGAAAGTTCTCTCTCGTTAGTGGGAGGGGTAATTAACTATAGGGGCTTGCGCCTATAGGAAACCATAACTCAGATCATAAAGTCCTCGCAAAATGAGGGCGAAATCTCTGGGTAGTGTCTTATCTACAAACCCATATGCCTTCCAAAATTTACCTCGGAACTTAGTTCGTTAAAACTCCCTCGCCGAATAAGAAAAGCGAGTGGAGGCCGGGGCCGAATTTTCGGAGCCCACAGAATTCGGATTTGGGAGAGAATTGGGAATCCTTATATAGGGCTAATTAAGTTGTTTGATTTTCATTATGTGATTTGTGTGTTTGTTGTAATTTTTCTTTGGAGTTGTTCCTAGCAGCGCCTAGAGTTTGTGGAGAGCCAATCTACCTCTCGAATAGTAGATCAACTTATATCTTTATTTGTTTTGCCGAAATATAAATCTTTCTAGCTGATTTCTACTACATTTTCTCTTCGTTTTTGCTGTTTTTGTTGTAAGAAGATCGGATTCCTATCAAAATTACACCATACCTTGTGAAGATTTTATTTCGAAGAAACTTGGTGATAGGAAATACTTGAGTTCGCAAGTAACCCCTAAGGGAAATACTTGACTTCGCTAGAAAATCTATCACTAATTGGTGAAAACAGCAAGAATAATGCAAAATCTGGGCGAAATCAGCCCCAAAAAGATGGATTGCAATAAGAGAAATAAAGCCAAACAAACACGTTAATAAGATACAAATGATCCTCAATTCGAGAGGAGGATTGTTCTCTCCCAAATCTCTAGATAAAACAATCTAGGGCCAAAAACCTAAGAACTCCAAGAGAAAACTCAAATCATGCATAAACCTAACCCTGAAACAAATCCTCCTATTAATACGATTAATTTCCTAATTCAGATCTCCCTCATTCAAAATTTCCCTCTCACCCTAGCCGCCCAAATCCCCCTTTCCTCAATTGCTCTAAATGGGGCCCACACATGTGGACGGCATATCAAAGGGGGCGGACCCTTTTTCGCCTCCTGTAGAATTGAGCCGGCTGCTGGGCCAGCTCCTGGGCCAGTTCAGGGTGAACCGGCCTATCACTTGGCTCTACATAATTAACAATCTCCCACTCAGAGACAATTTCTAATGTACCTGCTCTATGGTTGATGTCTGAACATCAATGTGTGACACCTCTATATCATCATTCGCAGAGGATAGTTGAAGTTTTGTAAAGCTCCAGCTTTTCAACAGGAATCACTTTTGTGAGCATATCAATGACTCTTTTGATTTTGATGAGAAGTAGAGAATCTCCTTCAAAAAAAACTTCATATATAGTGGTATTAAGGTTTCATGTGTTTTGTCTAATGGCGGAAGATGACATTCTTTGTCAAACAAATGATTTGCCTATCACAACAAAAAGCAAGGTGTCTTCTTGTATCATGTCTTTTGAGTTCTTCTAAAAAGCTTTTGAACAAACCATCTTCTTGTTAGCATTAGTGATAGCTATACACTAAGTTTCTGTGGTTTAGATAATATGAATGCTTTTTGAAGTTGTGAAACCCAACTAATTGAGGTGTCACCAAAGATGTAGATATACATGGAGGTACTTCTCCTTGTATCCAAGTCTCCCAAATTTGAATAATATCGAGCCCTACAATTCTAAGTTAGTTCTTTTAAACTTTAGAGAATGGTTGATTATATCTTTAAATAGCATAGCGTCAACTTCACAGCTTCTCACTATTCTTATCTGGAATTAAATATGTACATGTTGACAACTGCCACCACTTATATAGACCATTACAGACATAAGAGATTCACACACAAAATATCCAACGGCTAAGACATAGTGACTAAGATCATGTGTTCATTTTCTTAGTTTCTAGAGACAATCTAAAGTGACCAACAAGCAATGAATTTATAGTCTTTTTTATTTGTCATGTTGACTATATTAACACCTTTTAAATATATTGTGATTATGAAAGACTTAATGTACGTGTAGTTTTGTTGAAATCTAATCTCATTCAGAGAATTTTTTTAGCTTCTCCTAAATATTTTATATCAAACTACTTTAACAGTTGTCTTAATTGATCTTTTGAATATCATCAATCTAATTAGCATATCATTCATATATAACAATAAAATAATACAATTTTTTAAGTTCCTTTGACATAGCAACACTAATCAACGCTACATCTGAGAATTCAATACTATGCATGAACTTATCAAATTTTTTATAACAATAGCAAAGCGTTTATTTCAAGCCATAAAGGCTTTTATTTAGCTTGCACAGAAGTCTTTCTTTTCTAGGATCACCAAAGTGTTCGAGTTGCACCATGCATATATCTCTCTCTTTGCCACCAGAAAGGAAACTTATCTAAACATTTATTTTTTACGGCAAATATAATTTCTTGCTACAATCCTTGCACAGGATGAATAATGGTTAGGTTAACTGTAAGTGGAAATATTTATGTAAATTATATACCTTTTGACTTGAATCCCATTAGAAGCCATGTCTTATGCCTTTTGTTTCTTGTTTGGTCTTATTTCATTTTATATATTCATTTATTTTGTAATACAATCGTATCTTTAGTGAGCTGGGCCAGTATCCAAGTATCATTCTTATAGAGAATTCATATCTTCTTTCATGACAAATTTCCATTTAACATGATTCTTTACCAGTATAGTGTCATTATAACATTTGCCACCTTTGCAATTGTAAACAACAAATTGTGAAGAGAACGAAAATAATAGTTAGTTGATTTATGAGTTCTTCATGACCTTTTGACTTGGGTCATAAGTGTATTGAACTCTTGAGTTTCTTGTCTTTATTTTCAAAAAAGTTGCTCAGCAATTCAATATGCTCTTGAGTAAGGTGTATTTTATAATAGTGATAGATCTCTCTTTGTATATTACAAAATCATTAAGGATAATATTTCTATTACTAATAATTCTTTACCTTCATAATCTCAACATTTGTAGAGCTCATTTCCAATCATCTCCAATATAATTGTTTTTCTTAAATTTTGAGTCAAGCTATATATTTGATGATCTGACCAAAATAAGCATCTGATATGCAAATAAAAAGCTTAGACCTTATCTCCGTGGATGTTCAGGCTTCTTAAAAAAACCCTAATTTGAATGCAGCTAAGGTCCTAGGTTGATAAATATGTTGTTTTGTTCACTGCATTTGTCCAAAACGCAATGGAAAATTTTGCATATAATTTCATACTTCTTGTACATTCTTTGAGAGTTTTGGTCGTCATCTCAGTTACTCTATTTTGGTATGGAGTTGTTG